TCTATATCATTCGACTAAAATGGGTGGTATAGATTTTCACAATCTTACTTCTATAAGTTAAATAAACTTTGTCCTAACTATATAACTTAAAAATGTGAGCAATTATTTTGAATGTTAATTGAAAGACATATAAACTGCATTATTGAAACTAAAATATAGGCAGCTTTATACTGAACTATTGTGCAATATTATACCAACTAATCCTTGTTTTTTTTTTTGACAAATAACCAATCATTAGTTGTCATTTTTAAGAACATTTTAATGAAAACAGACTAATTTCATTTGAAGATGTATGGAAAAATATAGGAAAGAACAATATTAATACAATCTTAATCTCAAGTTTCTCCAGAAAATACATTTATGATAAAAAAAAAGACCCACAAAGAGATCACTTCCACTTCGACAATCATAAATCTGAAAACATGATCTATTTAAAGAATTAAGGGTTGCTAATTTGTCAATACTTTAATGGAGTCTTTAAAAATTTGTAAAATCTACACCATTTTTAAGAGCTCCAAAAACACCAGGGGCAGAAACAGATTTGCAGATTCCAATGGCATATCTAACTTTGATGAAGGTATTTTTTGAAGTGTAGCCCTACCAAATTTCAAAATTACGTGGCGGATGATATAGCAAAAGTTTCTACGTCGTTATAATTGAGGCTTCATTTTCCATCAGTTTGGTGGAAATTCTTGGCCTATCTTTTCGAATTGTGAATATTTTGATTTTCTAAATGAAATTTTGTTGAAGTATCGTCTAACAAATGACTTGGACGTTTAGTTAGTGGTGGCAACGTGGGACCCAATATAAAATTGATCGGCAAACAATACTGACAAAATTAACAGCCTTGCAGCATCCAAAATTTGATTTGCATCAACGATTCAGGTCCCTGTTTGTCCAGACTTGGACCTGAAAACAATGTGTGGGACTTGCTAGCGGATGCAAACCTGATCAAACCCAAAATTAAAATATTTATGTATTTAACTAAGTTTAAATATATTACATAAAATTGAACCCAAAAAATATTACAGGACCCAGATCCAAACCCAAAGAGAGTTTTGGTCCAAGATTTAGACCCAAACCGACCTGTCGAGTCCAATTTTTAAACCCATATCTGGACTTGGATTGGATCTACCCGTCAAGTCCCAGGTTGGATCTAGGTCTATTGCCACCCCTATTTAGAGTGGGCCGGGTCCAAAATTTATAGCGCTAAAAAGAAATGAATGAATGAATAATTAAGTAATTCAAATAAATCCACAACAAAATTTAAAGAGAAAAGTTTTTATAGAGCCGACACTCTAAACAATAAAGTTTGAGCCTACCTCAAAAGTTTCACCAAAAGAGGTTCTTTTGATGCTCAAATATCTTCAAATTGATCATCTTGACATCAAGAAGCATGGGCATAAGAAAAAAATGAATTTAAAGTTTTGAAAATAGTGTATTTTGTAACACATTTTTGGACCGTCAATGTTCAAGATTTTCAAGTTTTCATAGATCTATCAATCTACACTATTTTTGAAGCTTTAAACTATATAAATAAATAAGAAAACATATTTTAAGGCTATCACAAAGATTTCCAATATTAAAACCACATTTCTCGATACTATTTGAAGATAGGCTATAATTTGATTGTTTAGAGCCTAGGCTCTATACAAACCACATCCAAATTTAAAATCAATCAAACTAATTCCAAACTAGATAAATAAATAAATGAAAATAAAACTTAGAATAATTGCATTGCGAGGTCACCTCATCCAAGATGCATCGCCACCCCACGTCATTGAAATTGTGGACCCCACCTCAAAGGAAAATAGTAGAAACCACACCCAAATTTAAAATCAATCAAAATAATTCCAAACTAGATAAATAAATAAATAAATGAAAATGAAACTTAGAATAATTGCGTTGGGAGGTCACCTCATCCAAGATGCATCGCCACCCCACGTCATTGAAATTGTGAACCCACCTCAAAGGAAAACAGTAGAGAGAGAATCTTTCTGTCATTTTCGATTGAAATGAACAAAAAAAAAAAAAAAAGAAAAAGAAAAAGAAAAAGGAAAAGGAAAAGAAAGAAGCCCAAATGCTGATAATGGCAGAACCAAGTCATCATCTTGACCTACATATTTCTCTCTTGTTTGATACTTACATAATCTAGAAACATCTAAGCAAATTCTCTCTCTCTCTCGTGTTTAATGTTTTAAATTTGGTATTCGGATTGAAAATCGCCATTCCAGATCTGATTTTGGTGGTTCGGGGATCCGAATCACCCATAGAAATGCCCAATACTGTTATTTTGTTAATTCGTTTATTGATATTCACATAATTAAACCAATTTGGATCACCGATCGGGCCAATCTGAACTTGTGCAATGAGCGGGATACAAGATCTGATTCCGACTTTTTAAACATGGCTCACATCTAAAATGAAAAATCTTTCTTAGAACTTTGATCTAACCTAAATCTCTCCCTCTCTTTCTTAGATATATGCAAGAAAATGCAGGCATACTTTGGTACTCTTCTTTTCCATCTCCTTGTTAGTAATAGAATACCAAAAAGAAAGGGCAAATATCCAAACTCTCTGTATTTGTACTCTTGTTTCTATCTTCATTTCAACAGTAGAATACAAAGAAAAAGGGAAAAAAAATCCAAACTGTGGGTGTGTGGGTTCATAGGACCTAGAATAATAGTACAGAGTACCTAAAACAACAGTGAATTTTAAAGAAATGAGACATGCACTACTAAGAGTTTAATACTAATGATAAACGAGCAATAACATCTAGGACAAGACAAATCCCTCTCTCTCATAAGTCCCTGAATAATAGTATAATATCTAAAATAACACATGCGTTAATTAGAGCAACTACTACCAGTGAGAAATCATCATCAGAAAAAAAAAAAAAAAAAAAGTTAACACTGGTGAGAAATGAGCAATCTCTCTCCCTTTCACATTCATATTTCTTAAAAAAAAAAGAAAGGGACCCAATTGCTCTCTCTCTCTCTTTCTCTCTCTCTCCCATATGACGTTGATTAGTAGTATAATACTTAAACGAGTATACGATGAAATTTTAAAAAATAATACATGCTTTAATAAGAGTTGAAGGCTAACGGGAAATGTAATCTGCTTCTCATTCACACATGCACATGGTCATACTCAAATTTAGACAAAGGATATAAAATTATGAGCTCATATTGTACACTCCAACAAACCCATCGCAAATTTGGCCGGTTCAATTTGAAATCACGCATTTGTTGGTTCCGGTTTTGACCGGTTTTGGTGATTGCATTTTTTAAAATCTATATAAAATTGCAAAAAATAAAGGATCTGTTTGTAATCCATTTTTTAATGTCTTTTATCTTGACTTTAAATAGTTATTTTTATATTTTCCCATCTTTTTTAAACAATTTAAAAAATTCCTAAAGGCACAAATCAATTCTTAAAAATATATTTTTCACTAATTTTTAACTTTATTTAGATGTACTTTATTTAATCATACTTTAAATATACTTTTCATATGTTTTTAGATTTTATTTTTGTATTTGTTTTGTTTTTTGAACACTTTTTTGATCGGCAAGGACTTGCCCAGTTAAGCCTTTTGAACCGGCCGATTTAGCGAAAACTAGGAACCAGCCCTTGGCCAGTTCGATTTTTCGAGCACTGCTCACTATAATACACTTGCTCCCTGGAGCAAAAGACCCATGGTTTTTATTCTGAATATTTGGGATCCACCTTAGAAAGGCCTTTTTTTTTAAAAAAAAAAAAGGCAAAAAAGGAATTTGAGTTCCTAAACGATTAGATCTAATCACGCAGGAAAGAGAAAAATGATTGCAATTTATTTATTTTTTTCCTTTTTTAATTTTTTCTATATGCTCCCTCGGGAGCATCTATTCATTAACATAATAATCACGCGTAGGTCCGTCGGCGTTATGATCGTGTGTACGTACGACCAAAAAATACAACAAGCGACAAAGGAGTCAACAAAGAAACAATCAAAGGGCATTTTCGCCCATTCAAACACCTTGTTGGTCGTTTTATTAGATGTCGAAGGGCAATTCTGTCATATTGGGATTAAGGGGAACAAAACGACCGGCACATGCACTACATACGTGCCAACCAAGAAACTTACCAACAAAATAAAAGAAAAGGTCGTTTTTTTTTATTTTTTTTTCGAGAGTAAGGATAATTCTATTGTGTGAGTTTTAGAGAGAGAAATTATAATAGGCGCCGCACGTTTTGCTTCCTTTCCTATTAGGCTCGCAAACCCAACTTGTTATGCAAGAGAGAAGCATTGAATATGAGGCACCAATTTTAAATAATCAAAGGCGTCGACAGATGCAATTTCAATGTCAAAAACCCCTACGATGGTTAAAAATATTGATTTTATATTAATTGTAAAATTAAAAGGTCTAAAAATAGTACAAATTATACAGATCCATAGAGACTTGAAAATATTGAAATATTACTGGATGCACACTTTTTCAGAATAAAATCTATTTCTTGTCAAATCCATACATCTCGAGATTGAGATAATCAAAATAGAGGGTTTTTCAAACGTCAAACAAGATTTTCTATAGGATTTTGATATGCATTTTAGTTTTGCAGTATAAGACTGGGGCTTAAATAAACTTCCCCAAGTTTTATTGTATAATTGAGTTTTTAAGAGATGAGCTTATTTCTATTCATCGAGTTTTTGAGAGAGTAATTTTGATTATGTTAATTGAGTTTTAGAGAGAGAGGATAAGACTTACGCGGTGATTGAGTTTCTCCCCTATTTTGAGAAAGAGGGAGAGAGTTATTTTTATCGAGGAAATGAGTTTTCTCTCTCTTCAAAGAGAGTTTATTTTTAATTGAGGAAATGAGTTTCTCTCTTCTAAAATTTGAATCTCGAAAGACGTTGACGCCGTCCATGGGGCCAAATCCCATGGGAAGGAAGGAAAATAGAAGGCCACCCCAAATCCCCCATTTTCAGTAAGCGTAGTTGGTGAGATATGAATAATTGAAATTGCAAATGTCTCCTCTTTTTAAACCACCCCTTAACCACCTCTCAACACCCATTCTTCTTCTTCTACCTCTCCTCTCTCTTTCTAAACCCCACATCATCCTTCTCCTTCAAGCCTGCACATCTTTCTCTCTCTAATCCAACACCATTCTTCTTCAGCACAACTCTCTTGCTAGCCATTATTACACTTCCTCATCACAGCTCACTAGCCAACCCCATTCTTGTTGCCTTTTCTCTCTCTCTCAAGATGCCTTGCATCCCATGGAAAGCCATCCTTCCAGCTGGATGTCTCAGGGAAAGCTCACCGAAGACCAACAAGCGCGTTGTGGCGAAGCAAACATCCTTTCAAAGGCTATCCTTCTCAGACCTCAGTGACCCATTTTTGGTAGAGGACCTGTCTCTCTCTCTCGGATCCAGTCTTCACAACTTTACTCTGAGTGAGCTAAAGGCCATTACCCAGAACTTCTCTGCCAGTTTCTTGTTGGGAGAGGGCGGGTTTGGTCCCGTTCACAAGGGTTATATCGATGATAAATTGAGGCCCGGACTTAAGGCGCAAGCTGTGGCTGTCAAGCTCCTCGACTTGGAAGGTTTGCAGGGGCATAGGGAATGGCTGGTAAGACTCTCTCTCTCTCTCTCTCTCTCTACATCACAACACACAGATGAATGGATGGTAGGATTCTCTATCACACACCCCACATACACGTGTAATGAATGATAAGACTTTCTTTCTCTTTCTCAAGAATTTGAACTCATGTAACAGGCCGAAGTGATTTTTCTTGGGCAATTGAGACACCCGCATTTGGTCAAGCTGGTCGGCTACTGCTATGAAGACGAGCACCGGTTGCTGGTCTACGAGTTCATGCCGAAAGGGAGCTTAGAGAATCACCTGTTTAAGAGTAAGAATACCATCTTCCCAATTCTAAGAAGAAAACAAAATAATCTTTCCTTTCATAATGCACATTATTCACATTTTCTTCCCAATATACAGGGTTTTCGATCTCATTGCCATGGGCAATAAGGCTTAAGATCACGATTGGAGCTGCGAAGGGTCTTGCCTTCTTGCACGAGGCCGAGAAGCCAGTAATCTATAGGGATTTCAAGGCCTCCAATATCCTATTGGACTCAGTAAGTCTTAATTCTAAATCGGTTCCACAGTTTTTATATATTGATTATTTTCTAATCTATTACAAGGGATAATTTCATTCTGACAAGAAAAGAGATTGAATACTGTACTTAAAAAAAAAAAGACGAGAGACTCAATGGTTCTCAATCCCAAATTAGTCGGCCCATCTGACACAAGTTTGCTAAAACTATCACTAAATTTAGCCATGATTTCCTGGCCATTTGCGACTGTGATCCGAACATTCAAGCTTATTTACGCACCTTGAATGGGTTTTGGCAGCATCTTATGCTGTTTTTTCTTGAATGGGTGTTGCAATCATCTCAGGTGAAAATAACTCCCAAATTAGCTGCTCATGCAAACAAGACTTTGGCGCATTTGCATTGAAGTTCTACAAAAGTCTGAAAGTTGCTGGCTAATACAACATACCACCTAGAGTTTGCTAAAACTATTGCAGAGTTCTAGTTGTGGTTCTCGGTCATCTCCCTGCCGGAATAATCTTATTATTAGACACTGCTACCATGATAAGCAATCAAAACTCCCATTTAGCTGGCATTCGGTCATTACTGCTACAAGTACTACCAACTTCTAGCTACGCATTTTCAGATATTTTCTTGCTGAACATCTGGAATGTGAGCTTCATCTAGACAGCAGCCAGATGGGCTTTCCCACCATCTTAGTGAAATGTAGCTCTGCTTACGTGGGTTTATTTGGTCATCCCACACAGGTTTCACTAGAATTGTTACTTATTAGCCAAGTGTTTCCAGTTCCTTCTCATAGCTTCCATTACTACAATCTTGATGGAATATAACACCCGAATTAGCTGGCCATACGCACTACTGAGTTTTGCTAAAATTGCTACTCTTTTGATTGTTTTTGGGGCCAACAAGCATAACAAATACCTAGTGCCTAATATTCTACCATCTTCTTGTGGGCAATGACTGAAATTCCTCTAATTTGCTGTGCTTTTGCAGGATTACACAGCCAAGCTTTCAGATTTTGGGCTCGCAAAGGATGGGCCAGAAGGGGATGAGACCCATGTTTCCACGCGGGTAATGGGGACACATGGTTATGCAGCTCCAGAATATGTCATGACTGGTAAGGTTCACACCTCCAAGTTCTCTCTCCCTCTCTCCTTTTTCTTCCTTCTTTTTTTTAAATAATTTTATATGGTGATAATCTATAACTACAAGCAACAACAATAGCTTGCTTCTATGAGTTTCTAACACAAATAGAATATCTTACATAAGACAAAATACATTTAATTTTAGGAGGCTTCATAAGATTACACTGCATGGGGTCCTGGAACCCTATCGTCAAAAGCTGCATAAACTATCTTACAACTTCTAGAAGAACTACATACACCATACACATGGACTTGCTAACATTTTCTCCAAAAACTGAAATTTGTTAATATTGGCCTTCGCTCAACTGCAAATACATTTTCAGCAAGTGCAGCAAACCACTTATACTGACATCTACTTTCTTTTTCTTTTTTTCTTTCCACTATGTAAGCATGAGTCTATGTATAATATCAATATTTGAAACTGGGAATAATTTGTTTGTTATTATTGTGCCTAATCTTCTCCTCCTACCTTCAGGTCACTTGACCGCAAAAAGTGATGTCTATAGCTTTGGAGTGGTTCTCTTAGAACTCCTCACGGGAAGGCGCTCGATGGACAAGACCCGACCAAGTAGAGAACAGAGCCTCGTAGAGTGGGCTCGCCCCTATCTAAACAACAGTAAAAAGTTAAATCGAGTAATGGACCCAAACCTTGATGGGCAATATTCAATCAAGGGTGCACAAAAGGCGGCAGCTCTAGCCTATCAATGCCTAAGCCATAACCCAAAGAATAGGCCTCTGATGAGACAGGTGGTTGAAATTCTTGAGCCAGTGCAAGACCTAAAAGAAGACATAGTTGGTCCCTTTGTGTACACAGCAGCCATGGAAAATGCTAGGAAACCTGACCCAGGAAGATCTGCAGTCAAAGAGACCAAAATCCCAAATGGGGGTCATAGGAGCCGATCACCCATGTCTCCCACGAAGGCCTATTCAGACACAGCTCTCTATAAAAATTCGCCCAGACACAAAGGGTGAGGAGCATAGAGTTTTGGAAGGAAGTGGTGAAGTTAGAGAGTTGTAAGCATAGGATTTTGAATGAAAGTGAAGATAAAAGAAGCAGTGTGTGAGAAGGTTCTTGCTGTATATGATTAAGTTCGGGACGCCAGGAGAAGATTTCCCACCTGTTAGGTCAAGCAGTTATGTCGATAATATCATAATATTGCTGCAGACCAAGGATATGCAGTGACTACTTATTTCACGAAAGATCGTTGTGTAAAGATTTAAGAATTTTAGCTGTATAGGCTGGATCAGCTTGCTTCAACAATTTCAGTTGTACACAGCTCTCTCTCTCTCTCTC